CGAGGCCTGGCTACATGACCGGGATTTTCTGCTTTAGGATAATTTCCTCTCATTAATATTAGTACATAAATCTCTTGTTTGTTTTGAGTTGGGGGGGTCTGCTGTTTTATTTTTTCCCTTTATACAGTAAAACTTTGTAAAAATATCAAGTCAGATGCAATTAATTCTACTAATGCATACTTGTTGGATGTGAACTCTATGGACTGCTCTGGCAGATGTTTAACATGGAGGAGCACCTAGTCCTGTTCTTGAGGGGCAAGCAGCCCAGTAGAGCTGTAGTCTAATATGAATATAAACAGCTATAAGACAAAGCAGATAAGTTGAGAGTGACTTTAATGTTCTCGTCTATAAAATTATTTTTACATTGAGCCTGTGTTACTGTTGGGACCATTGAGAACAAGCTTTAATAAATACATCAGAGCCGGGCGATGGTGGCACACGCCTTTAATCCCAGCACTCGGGAGGCAGAGGCAGGCGGATCTCTGTGAGTTCGAGACCAGCCTGGTCTACAGAGCTAGTTCCAGGACAGGCTCCAAAGCCACAGCGAAACCCTGTCTCGAAAAACCAAAAAAAAAAAAAAAATGCATCAGAGGATTACAGGGCAAAGGAGAGAAAACTCTGTTCAACCAGAGTTGAAAGGGAATGAAGAAGGCCTTGGAGTTCCTGTCTTTTCTAATGACGAAAGACTTTTGTATAAGACAAAGTTGACAAAATTTCATTGAACTATAAAAGATATCATATCATATTTTTAGAACCTTTTCTCCCTGACATTTGCTTATTCCTTTTCTCTGTTAACTACAATAGCCCTAGTGGCTGTCATATTACTCCTTAACTTTCTATTAATTTAGGTCTAGTTTCAAGCCATTTGGCCGTGTCTTCCATGGACGCATAGTTAGCACTTAGCTGTATCGTAAGTAGTGGCGGGGGACAGTGGTGGGATGTTCCCCTACTAACCAAATGACAGGAAAGAAAGGAGACAAGCCTACATGCCGAGAGGGAATCTTGGTCTTGCCTGTAAAACAGAAAGAGATAAAGGACATGTGAACAATAACTGCGTGCAGTGTGATTTGTGCAATGGAATTATGCTGAGGGCGATGTGGAAGGAATGACTAGCCGGTTGCGAGGTGAGAGGATGTCAGGAGGGCTACCTTTAACAGTGTACGTGCGTGGGAGCACTGAGGTCAGGGATGAGTGACACAGGCAATGATGGGGGTGGCGTGGGCTGAGGTGGGGTGGTACCATGATTTGGGGATATATTAGTGGAGAAAATGTTGGCGCACACCTTTAATCCCAGCACTCTGGAAGCAGAGGCAGGTGGATCTCGGAGTTTGAGGCCAGCCTGGTCTACAGATTGAGTTTCAGTACAGCCAGGGATACACAGAGAAACCTTATCTCTAAAAGAAAGCAAAACAAAACAACGTACAAACAAAACAAGATCAGAGAGAGAGAGAGAGAGAGAGAGAGAGAGAGAGAGAGAGAGAGAGAGAAAGCCAAGTGGGAAGTTGGCTTCAGTTCGAGTGTTGAACCTTTATCTGCATACAGATACACTTCTGTGTTAGCAATCCGGCAAGTGGCGGAGCATTGTCACCCAGATGTCATTGGCACATGGAGGACAGGTTATGAGGCCTCCTCAGCTGACGCAGCTCTGCTAGGCCTGGGAGGTAGACTTGGTGCTGATGAAGACCTGTCCCCTACCCAACACACACACACACACACACACACACACACACACACACACACACGGCTGTGGATGTAGGGCCCAGATCATCTCTTAGCTGAAGCTGATTTCTGCCTTTTTCTCTGTTACAGGATGGCTTTCTTTTGGATGTGGGCCAACCTACTTCTACTTCTTCACGGTGCAGGTGAGTCATTTTTCAAAAACTTTTGGAAATGTTTTGGAAACCATTTTGGAGATCATGAGGACAATGATATAGTGATTAAAAAAAAAAAACCAACCAACCAACCAACAAGGACCAGTCTAGAAATGATTTAGTCTCTTAAAATCTCAGTCTTGTTATTTACTAAATGTGAAAAGCAAATATTATATTTGCTTTACAAAACGTGGCGAAATGTGTTGGAGACTATAGCATACCTTTTGCAGCCTTAATTCTATCTGTTCTAACGAGAAACCCCTCCCTCCAAATTAGATTTGTCCATTTGAAGCCATATGACCAACTTGATTCCCATGCTGATTGCAAACTTCCCAAAAGAAAAGACATTCAGGCCCTAGCGGTGGTGGTGCACGCCTTTAATCCCAGCACTCGGGAGGCAGAGGCAGGCGGATCTCTGTGAGTTCGAGACCAGCCTGGTCTACAAGAGCTAGTTCCAGGACAGGAACCAAAACTACAGAGAAACCCTGTCTCGAAAATCCAAAAAAAAAAAAAAAATAGAAAAGACATTCAGAACCCCCACCTTCAAGTGACTTTGTAAAGTATCAAATTTTATAGTATCAGAATATTTGAAATCAGACCTGTCCTAAAAAAATCTAGATGGTCATACAACTCAGTTTTTTAATTTCACTTTATACTCAAGTCTGCAACAATGTGTGTGACGAAATTTTTAACGTGACTGAGCTAACCTGAAGCATAGGACTGAAAGTTTCTATAAAGTTACTGTGCAGGCAAGGCCTGCCATCTAACTACTCCACACAGCAACCAAACACATTACAGTCCTCAGGGACACGCAATGTCACAGGAACAGTGGCTCTGATCTCTGATGGGCAGCAGCAGTTTAAGAGTATCCTTAGGCCCCAGACATAACTCAGAAGTTAGTGCAAGTCTTGGTTTATTTCTTGGCTCTTTTCACTTGATGATGGAGGTGTGAGTGAGTATGTGTGTGGGGGTGGGGGGGGTGCGAGTGTAGGTAAAGGGACGAAGGCAAAGTGAGCTGACGGTCTCTCACACTGAAAGTGCTACAGAAATGTTAAAAAGAATGCAGATGAGAATGGGGAAGATACATCTACTAATATATTTTTGAACAATACTGTCAACCTGGTAAGCTGTGCCAGGTGCTATAGCAGTGCAGTAGATACTCATATTTTCCGTATAATTTTCAAAGTATTTTTCTACGTTTTTAGCTTTTCGGTGCATTTTTGTCTTGGGCTTTTCGATCTGGGGTTGCTAAAGACTCAACAGCCTAGAAACAACGGTTTGAGAAAGATGAAAGACATACTTAGATAGAAGTAGGGCCTTGTGCGGACACACCAGTTAGGGGTTGGTGACTTCCATCCTCGGCCGGTCATGTCTGCCTTAGAATCCAGAGTGTGAAGCCAAGTGTCCTGCCAAGGCCATAGACAGTACAGCTGTAGCAAGAGCTCAGAGGCTGAAGCCTAGATAATAAGCCCACGATCGATTAAAGAGGAAAATACGTGTTCTTAGGAGAGAGATTGGAGTGAGGGTGGGTACACACATCTGGTCTCTTCCCTGTGTCCCTCTGGAGGATGACTGAGTCAAAACAGTCACCAAAATCCCAAGGTGTTTCACAACTACCTGGAGCAGGTGGTGTCCTAATTATATATACAGAAATAAACTCAGGGACATGAACCGCCCGAAGCCACACGATTAGTTAGGGTTACTTAGCACTGGAGCTTGGATTTGTAATTCTTCAGACCAGGGCTTTAGGAACCACTATTAAAAATGTGCAAACCCATCCTTCTAGACATTGCATAAGTTGTCTCTTCCTACGCTGCCCCTCTGTCATGCCTTTCTTTGTATTCTTCACCCGATTCCTCGGTAATTGATTTGCTTGTCAACTTTAGAGAGAATGATTACTCTTAGCTGAAAGAACACATCTCAAACAGAGAGCTTTGGAACCAGAGTCCTGAGACTCAGCAGTCTCCTCCCGCCCACAGAGTGAACTGCGTCTCTAAACAACCCACCTCCTGGTACTAAATAGTATCTGCTTCAATGTCGTCTGCAGATAAAGGTTAAATCCAGAAAAGAAAGCTCTTTCAATACGTTTAGCATATTGTAAACACAAAATAAATGTAAGCTGATAGAGTCGGGGTTCTCCAGCATGCGCATGTGCGCGCGCGTGCGCGCGCGCGCGCACACACACACACACACACACACACACACACAGGGTGGGGGGGAGACAGAGAGAGAGACACACAGAGAGAGACACAGAGAGAGAGTGAGAGAGACACACACACACACAGGGTGGGGGGAGACAGAGACAGAGAGAGAGAGAGAGACAGACAGACAGACAGACAGAGGCGTGATCTGATCTGAGTCCAAGAACCTGAGACCCAAGAGGAGCCCATGTCTCACTCAGGTATGAGGTGTGGAATAGATTACCCAGGCATTTGCGCAGGCGCCCTGATGGCTGGTAGGACAGTCCGCTGTTTTGTTCTATTCTGGATTCGGATAGAGTGGGAGGGTAACTGCTTTACTCAAGTTTGTCCTTTCAACTGTTAACCTAACACAAAATGGTCTCCATAAACTCCCATAGTAACATTTGTCCAAGTATCTGACAGCACCATCAGCTGCCACCAGGTCCCTGCACGCTGGGATAGGCAGACTGTGTCTCTGTCCTCTACTGGCTGGCTGGCTGCAGTTTGCTGATGGCTTGGAAGCTTCCTTGCCCACTTAGCGTGATACCCAGATTTGCTCTTAGTGCGTAAGTTAGTTTTCTTCTATTTTGTCATAGCTTTTATACCACGCAACACCCTTACCGAGCCTCCCGCTCACCAATTCTGCCTCCTTTTATTCCTGGCATTACTTGGGGTGGGGAGGAGAAACAGACAAACACACAAACACAGAAAGAAAGACAGAGACAGATAGACAGATACACAGACACAAACGCAGGGAGAGAGAGAGAGAGAGAGAGAGAGAGAGAGAGAGAGACAAGCAAGTTGAAATCCCACTGTTACAGTCTTCACCTGTTGCTGGTGACAGCCTCTGAAATAGTTTGAAAATGTCCAGTCAGGTGACTTGTCAACCTTCAGCTATCACATGCCAGGGTCTACCCCATGCTAAGAATCCCTGAGTTCTATATAGTCCATGGCTGTGGTCTCCACAGCCATCAGGCCCCCAGTGAGAGGTATTTGTGGCAGGTAGGTTAGTTTACTGAACAATTTTCACGTATAAACTATCTTTCTACCATCCCAATGTGCCTTCCTGGATCACTGAAACGGAGAGTAAAGAATGTTCTCAAGAACATTTCAGTGTTAAGGTTCTGGAAGCGATGCTTCCTGTCAGTCAGACATGTTTACAGAAGGGCTGAGCTGGCACCTGACTGAAGAGATGGAAAGGTTATGGCGCACGGTGCCTGCGACAGTTTTCTTTTGCCAGTGTCAATCTGGCAAGCCCAGCTTGGTTTTGGAGTCAACACCCGCAGCAACACAGCTTCTGTCAGGTCAGCTCTGACAGACGTACTTTGCTGTGTCATTGTTTGCCTAGAAAGAGGCCGGGGCAGGCGGAGCACACGTGACAAGCCGCACCCTCCCTGCCCATCTTTGGGCTCACTTCTCCAGGCTTCTCGTGATTTTATAAATGGCCAATCCCCTGCAGTGGATCTCTCTGCCTCCACTGCTGTCGTTCCTTACCCAGTGCGTGCTCACTGGTCTTTACTGACTTCATTTCCTCTTTGACAATTCAGCGTCGGCAGCTGAGGTGCGAGCCCACCCGTTCACTGACGTGACCCTCGACTGCGAGTTCTCCTTTATAGAGGGCACGGAAAACCTCGAGTTCTACTGGGAGCGAGAAGACATAATAGAGGAGTATGAAGCGGGAAATCGCGACTTTTACCGCTTCTTCACGCACTACGATTTCTCTCAAGTTTTCACAAAGGTGGTTTACCAGTTCTACGATAACGCAGAGCAACTCGAAGATCAGAACGCCTTGTATGAGGGAAGGGTCTCTGTAGACCAGAACGAGATTTCCGAGGGGATTCTGTCCCTTCTGCTGCGAAACGTGGATTTCATGGATGAAGCCATGTACAAGTGCTCGGCTGTCACTCCCAACGGCAGAGGGGAGAATAAGGTCAAGCTGATAGTGGAAGGTAAAAGAGACTTCGTGGACGAGCTTGGCTTCAAGTCTGGGCTCTTCATAAACTCTAAATTTTCTCTCTTGGAGGGGAGGGTCTCATTTTTTCTAGCTCAAATTACTTTATTTCTATGATAAGAATAATGGAATATTGCCGGGCGGTGGTGGCACACGCCTTTAATCCCAGCACTGGGGGGGGGGGGGGGGGGGGGAAGCAGAGGCAATCTGATCTCCGTGAGTTCAAAGCCAGCCTGGTCTACAAGAGCTAGTTGCGCCAAAAACTCCAGAGAAACCCTGTCTCGAAAATCCAAAATAATAATAATAATAATAATAATAATAATAATAATAATGGAATATCAATTTGCTTTAGTTAAAACTGTTTCTCTGAACAGAAAGTACGATGTCTGTACCGGGAGGCATCATTCATTATTATATGAACGAACTGGGGCAGCCAAAGCTGCCCTGGCTGAATCCCAAGTGTTACACATTGTAACAGCACCCCCTCCCCCACGCACGCATGCGCGCACGGGCACCTGACATGACGCTAAAGTCAGACACAATTCAGAGTGAATGGCACCGAACTGGGGATCAGGAGGCTGAATTCTGAATCGGGACGACTTTGGGCAGTCCATCAGTTTCTGTAGGCCTCATTCTTCTCACCACAAAGCAGAGGTTTCAGGCTTGGAGAGACAGCGCCTTGGTTAAAGCGCTGGTTCGATTCCTAGCACCGACACGGCAGCTCACAGTTGGCTGTAACTCCAGTTCCAGGGAACCCAACCACTCTTCTGGCCTCCGTGAGCATGCGGCCTGTACATGGTACACTGAAATATGTGTTGGTAACTCACACACACATAAAACAAAAAACGTAAAATCTAAAAATTAGTTTGAAAAGCATTGATTGGGTTGAATCCACACTCCCCAGTGTTAAACCCTTATCCTCCAGTGTTTCATGGAAAACTGTGTCATTTCTGACAAGGCCAAGCAGCTGTGGGTCCCGCGAGGCAGCCACCCGCCAGGGTAAGAGATGGGAAGATGGCAAGAAAGGTTCCTCAATTCTTTGTTGTTGTTTAGTGAGACAGAATCTTTCTATGTAGGCCGGTTTGGGCTTGAACTCACAGCAATCCTCCTGCCTCAGCCTTCCTTCTGAGTGGTGGGAATTACAGGTTCATGCCACTTCCCAGCTTTATTACTTATCTTCTGGGATTCCCCCATCTAAGGACTAAGTTGGCCCGGCCTTGCTTAGCTTCCAAGATCAGATGAGACTGGGTTCGTTCAGAGTGGTGTGGTCATGGACTCTTCTGTGATTCTCAACTCAGGACTCTGAGGTCAGTGGAGAATATGAAGTGAATCCACACCAAGAAGGAAATATTGCCCAAATAAAGACACCAGCAGTAGGGGGCTAGGTGGCAAGAGAATGCTCATATCCTCCTTTTCTCCCACTATGCTTGGGCCAAAATTTTAGCTACGGTGAACCTAGGAACATATTGTCTCCATAGGGTTAGTATAAACCGTGAAGACTTTGGCCTCCTGGGACTAAACAAAAAAGGAGCTAATTATTTTTTTATTTTTCCGAACCAGATTCTGAAATGCCCCAGGTGAAGTTTGACAAGATTGATGATGAAGATGTGGTTACATGCACATCCAAGGGCTGGTACCTCACACCCAACGTGACCTGGTTAGACCGGGGAGAAAGGGACCTTAGCAACCACAGTACGGTGGAGGTCTTGGAGGAGCAAATGAACGGCTTGTATAGAGTGTACTCTGTCCTCAAATACCCAGTCAAGTTAAACGAAAAATATGTCTGCCATATCACGGAGACGAATGAAAACAACAAACCCATCAGGTCCATCCGGCGGTACCCAAGTAAGTGCAGCTCTGCGGGGAAGCGTGAGAGCAGGCTGTGTTCACCACGCAGAAGCCTCCACTCGTTAATATTTACCGAATGCCAAATGTGGCGGCCACTTCTGAGCACTTTGGGGATTTTAAGCGCCAGGAGCACGAGCTTGTAGCCTGAGGTCAGAAATGGTGGTGATGTGGAGTCTCCCTGGGTTGGAAAAAGACTGTGCTTGGGGGAAAGGAGTGATAGCTCTCGCTAGACAGAGGTGACTCTTCCTCCAGACAGAGGTGACTCTTCCTCCAGACAGAGGTGACTCTTCCTCCGGGTGAGGCTTCTGTTCCTCCACTCCAGCTTCCTGGTGTGACAGGCTGAGTAGTCATAGCAGCATCTGCAGGCCACTTACCACGTGCTGGATCTTTACATATGTGTATATGCGTCTGTGTGCACACATACGTGCTTGGGTACGAATGCACGTGTGTAAGGATGGAGGCCAGAGGCCGCTGTTAGTGTTCTTCCGCTGTTGTTAGTGTTCTTCCGCTGTTAGTGTTCTTCCGCTGTTGTTAGTGTTCTTCCGCTGTTGTTAGTTAGTGTTCTTCCCCAGTTACTTCTCCTCTTTATTTTTGAGATAGGCTTTTTTTTTCTAGTTTTTTTTTCGAGACAGGGTTTCTCTGTAGCTTTGGAGCCTGTCCTGGCACTCTTATAGAGTAGGCTGGCCTTGGACTCACAGAGATCCGTCTGCCTCTGCCTCCCGAGTGCTGGGATTAAAGGCGTGCGCCACCACCGCCCGGAGAGATAGGCTTTTCTTACTGAACCTGGAGCTCACTGATCCAGCTACACTGAGTAGGCCGGGAGCCCCATGAGTCCTCCTGGCTCTGCTCCTCCAGGGCTGGGATCACATGTGAGCAGTGCTGCACCCCATTTTTATTTGGACGCCAGAGACCCATACTCACGCTCATGTAGCCATCTCCCCAGCCCACATCTGCTATGTTTAAGACCTTAACTCAGCCCTGCAACATAATTGCTATTACTCTCCCTTTCTATATGAAGAAATTAGAACTTTAAGTAATTTGACCAAAATCTTGACTAATGAACACAAATTTTAAATGTTTTTGGTAACCAATTATGTCATTTATGTCAGATATTATATATCTAAAATACATTAATATTATTTATCAAATTTAACTAGACCCCCCTACATTTTATCTGATAAAATATAGTTGTAGGAACATCTAGTATGAGAAGGGGAAGTTGAAGCTCAGTGAGCTTTCCAATGCCTCCTTCTCCTTCTTCCAGAGGGGTGAAGATGCAGGCCGGTGCCCCAGGCCAGCAACACCATCGCCACAGGGAACTCAAGGATGGTTTCTTGGGTCCCATTGTGGGAAAGTAAATCCTGGGGAGACTCAGTACTGGTTTTTTGGCATGGCCTCCAGGTGATTCTGACCCACACTCAAGTCCAAGGCACACTGGTGTCGAATGTAAGCTGTAGCCGGTGGTAACGACGCCCAGGGCACCTCTGTCCTCTCCATGTGTGAGGGGAACAGAGTGCAGTCTCCTCAGAGCTGTGTATGCACAGGGAGGAAGGCAGATCTCCCACTGCCTTCTCTCCATCCAGGCACGCATGTAAAATGCATTTACATTTCCCACATGAGCTGGCCTTTCCTCCAGAGGGAGAAAGGGGGGCTCACTTTATCTGCCAGACTTGTAAGTCTTTCCCACACATTCAGATGAACTTGGTGTCTGTGAACCTTAGAGTGGGCCTGGGACTTCCTTCTGAGAACACCAGGATACATTATTAATGGGTTGACTTCAAAAGAAACACTGTTGTTTTTATCTTCTTAAATTTCAACACCCTTAAAATGCCCTAGAACTATCTAAAAAGCCTTCATATTTTGCTTCTCTCTCTATCCTCCCGTCTGTTTATTTATACGAGCCCCTTGAGATCTGACATCTGCCTGTTTTCTCAGCTCTGTAGCCTCAGTGTCTCATGGCACAGCCGTTGCTCATGGCTCTGGCCTTACCAAGTCCTGTGGCTTTCAGACTGTTTTTTTTTTTTTTTTTATCACAGTGCCAAGCCTTTGTGAAGACTCTGCCTCCCTCCCAATACCTTTCTCCTCTTGCTCTGCACCTCAAACTCCTGCCCATTTCCCAAGACTTGGCTCACATTCGGAGTCCTTCTCTTACGCTCATTTCTATTTGTTCAATATTTGGCTCATTTGCACATCAAATATTTGTGGTCGCCAACTCTGTGCCATATCCTCTTTGTAGGTGCTAGATGCATCCCAGTGAATATAATGAATTCTTATACACTCAACATGCTCATACTGTTAGTGGGAAAGAAATACATAGCAAACAGATCATTAAAATGTGTTGTATGTCACCATATAAACCCATTTATATGAAATTCAATACCGGGTGGGGGGGGATAGGAAAAATCATCTATGCTGTGTGAAGGAAGTCAGAATATATTCCCGGGAGTGCAGATGTAAAGAGACTAGAAGAACATGAGGAGATTTCTAGGGTACAAATATTATTCCCCTTATAGTTGTGGGCGCTGATTATATGGTAGTATGCAGTTTGCAAGAAGTTTTATATGTATGTAATTTTCAATATAAAGGAAAACATGTATTATATCATATGGTGACTAGTCCCATAAAGGAACACAACACACTGGAGGCCGATCAGAAAGAAGAGAGTAGGGAGGGAGAGCTGTGATGTTAGACTGCCCATGGACAGCCTCACTTCCAAGTTCCAACAAAGACTTGAACAGAGATGTGGAAGCCAGCCCCGGAGGTCAGCAGGAATGTTGGGTTTGAGGAGCAACACGGAGGCCGGCCAGGGGTTGGAATGGAAAGAATTAATGACACAGTGTGAGGTTAAGAGAGGAGAAAGAGGAGAGGCGGCCGTTAGCATTGTGCAGATTCTAGTAGAGTGTTCCCGAGGATTTTTCTCAGTTGCGAAGTCACTGGCAGCTTTTGAGCAGAGGAGGGAAATGATTTCACGTGCTTTATAAGGCTCTTGCCTGCCACTTTTGAGGGTGGAACAGGGTGGCCAGGGGGATTATTGTGATAATCCAGGCAAGAGAAGATGGTGTCAGGACCCCATGGTAGGAACGGGAGTAACAGAAAGAGGCTGGATCGTGTTTACATTTCTGAAGGCAGAGCAAAGGTTTGTTGAAACAGTAAGTGAAGGGTGTGAGGGAAAGAGAGGAGCCCATGATCACTAAGATTTCTCTCAGCAAGAGGTGTTGTCCCAAGTTACTTATCCCTAAATGAATTCACAGAACCGGGATTCCGATGCAAATTACATGAAGGTCCTTAATATACAAACTCGAGTTTGGACCACACCCTTCCAGAGCACCCCAGTGTGGTGGGTACAGAAAGTGTGGAGGCGAGCCTGGGGAGGGGAGAATGTCTAAAGGGGAAACACTGTAATCAGGCGAATTCATGTCCTGTTGCCTTGGGATTGGGTAAGGAGGGCATAGGGTCAAGTACTTTCTGAAACCATTGGTCAGTGTTTGGGCGTGAAAACCTTAACAAAGAGCCATTAATAACTGACAAGGAATCTTCGATGACAGGATGCCTCCTAGGAACATCTGGACCTTGTTAAATTTTATGGCCCTGCTCCCTAGATCCTTAACTGACTACTTTTAGAGTATCCATTCAAATTCTGCTATTGCAGCACATCTCTGGAGCTGAGATCAGTACTCCCCCACCCCGGTATATGACTTAAGATGAAGCCCCTTCTTTAAAATGGAGTTTGCAAAGTCAGGTCCTCACAGAGCATGAATGGGTAGATTCGTATTTGTCTAGGTTTCATTAGGGGGCATCTTTGGAGAAACCCACGTGAGCCACTGGAGGGGGATGCTGAGTACATTTATTCAATTAAGAAAAAGAGACAGACTCAGAAGCAAAGCCTGGGAACTGGGACTACAGGTGGGATTTGAAATTCTGAGAAGAGATGTGCTCACCATGGATGTAGAATGCAAAAATGTAGAAACAAACAAACAAATAAGTCAAGTTCGGGTACTGGAGCTTGGGCCCCTCTCCCCTGCCCTTGCCTACATCCTTGGGGTGAGGGAGATGAAGGAACGCAGTAAAGGAGAAGCAGTGAAACAAATGGAAATCAAGAGGACGGCGTAACTTGAAAACCAAGGGGAAAGCTTTCAGAGAGAAAGCAATGTTCAGCTATGCAGAATATCACTGAGGAATCAAAACCGATGAAGACGGAGAAAAGATTACTGGAGAGAGAAGTTGAGCAGGAATCAGTTCATGAGCTGAGTGCAAAGTTAGGCATGCCAGGGTTGAGAAAGAATAAGACAACCGTCTAGAAGAGACAACGAAAGGAATGAGACAATTTTTTTTTTTTTAGCATTAAAAGCACTTTTGAAGTTCATGATCACTAAATTGAAACAAGGACACTGGGAACCACTGTGTGTTTTTCTTCAGTCTCAGTAATCTGAGTGTAGGCACACAATGGTATTAGAGTTTTGTCATACTGCCCAACAGATGGAGACAGAAGGGTGTGGCGTGGTAGCATAATGTCAGCCGTGGAGTTTTAGATGCACTGGGAAAGATGAAGGATGGAAGGGAGGAAAGGTCGAGAAAAGGTGGTAAGAGGGTGTGGTTGTATCTCGGCGGAAGAACACCTGCCTAGCATTCATGCATCCCTGGGTTCTACCCCTAATATTTCCCCAGAAGTTGTAGAGTCATTGGGTTCTAGGTCCTGGTGGCATTCAAAAAAAAAAAAAAACTATTTATGTTGGGGGACTTGAGATGGTGAATTGGAAAGACAGAGGCAATGGTTAAAGAGTAAGAATCTTGCCAGGTAGTGGTGGTACACACCTTTAATCCCAGCAATTGGGAGGCAGAGGCAAGAGGATCTCTGTGAGTCTGAGGCCAGCCTGGTCTACAGAATGAGTACCAGGACAGCCAGGACTGTTACCCAGAGAAACCCTGTCTCTAAAAACAAAAAACACAAAAAGAAAAGAAAAGAAAAAAGAAAGTAGTAAGAGTTTTGAAATTGAGAAAGGGGAGAAGTTATAGTTATTGCTAATATCATCATCTAAGTAATAACCATGGGGATGGTGACTAAAGCAAGATGTAGGCAAAAATCTTACAAGAGAGGAGGGTAAGGCTCAAACGGATGGAGTACACATGGGATAATGGCATTGACACCAAGAAGTAAGAGATAGAAAGCTTGAGAGAGTAGCAGCTAAGTCAGACTGGCGAGAATTGAAGAGGGACAGCAGGAGGATGTGAATGGGAAGCGCAGTGGGCAGTAACATGCCTGAGACTTAGGTCTAAGACAGAAGTTTGTAGAGGGACAGGCAGGGGAACGTTGCAGTCGGCAATCTTTCCTTGTCTGGGATGATTCCCCTCCCCCCAGGACATCCTGGAATGCGCTGTGAGTTGCTGACCTATGATGTCAGCTTCCTCCCTGTAAGCCCCAGTCCCACACAGGGAACAGACAAGGAAGGGCTGCCTGAGGCTCTGGGACTATGCTGCTCTTTTCTCTTTTTATCTCTGAAAGTTGGTAGGAAATACTATTTTTCCCAGTCATATTTCCTTTAATCTCCTCTAAGTGTTCTCAAAAAAAAAAAAAAAAAAAAAAGAAAAGAAAATTGTTGAGCGAATGAATGAATGAATGAACTAGTAAAACCAAATTTTATCTTATAAATGGACAGCAATTTAGAAAACACTCAGAGTATTTTAGAGCCCCTTAGAGGACGACCTTCTTAGAGGGAACAGGGAACAAAGAATGCATTCCTCATAGCTCTTCCTTCTTCTGTGGCTCTAAGAGCTGCATTGAAGCTGACCTGCTTCTAACACAAAACTAACTTTTATATTATTTTTTTCTTTCCACTCCCCCATGTTTTGTCTTTCAGAGAAAAGGTTCGGTGAATATGACTATTAAGAGATCTGAATGCTCTCTGCCCAAGAACCTGCTGTGCCTTTAGTCAGCGGAGTTCCTGCTTTCTCCTGTGAGGGATGTTCTTTTTGTCCTGGACACTTACTGACCATAAACTAAAATCAAAAAACAAGGAGCCAGTCAGTGCAGAGTGTTACAGATTAACAGAGTCTTTCTGCTTCTGCATCTGTTTTTCTCTTTTGTTTAAAAGATTTGTACCATTTAGTCTCCTTCTCCGAACATGTTAAATTCTGAGTAAAGATCAAGTCTTTAGTGCAAAACAAAGGAGATTAAAATCCATGTGTCAGTTTCTCTGGGGCGTGCGTCGGTACTGAATGACTCAGTGAACTCAGAGCAGAGGGAATATATTTCCTCTACGTCAGGTTGGTTTCCTTTTGGTAATGTGTTATTTGGGTACTTGGCCAATCAAGAAGAGCCTAAGAAGTACCTTCCCCCAAATTATCATGAATGTGTTTGCTAAAGTCCTTTTATGTGTTATTGGACAAAGGCTGTATAAATATCAGACATTAGGTGAGGCTAACTCTTCTGAACTTTTCTGTTTGTCCGGTGGTTTTATATATTATTATTATTATTATTATATATAAACTTCTAAATCTCTCCCATCTCTATGCCTTTTGTAAAAATAGATTAATGGTCTGAATATTTGTGTTTCCCCCAAATTCATTCTTTGAAATCTTTACACCAAAAGTAGTGGTAATAAGAAGTAGAGTCCCCTGAGAAGCTGAATCATTAAGGCAAAGCAAATACGATGAAATCTGTATTGCTGCCTGCCTTAGTTAGGGTGTCTATGGCTGCGATGAAAAAACGCCCTGGCTGAAAAACAAGTTGGGGAGAAAAGGGTTTATTTGGCTTACACTTCCATATTGCTGTTCATTGTTGGAAAAGTTAGGACAGGAACTCAAACAGGGCAGGAACCTAGAGGCAGGAACTGATTCAGAGGCCATGGAGGGGTGCTGCTTCACGTGGCTTTCTTAGTCTGCTCTTCTATAGAACCCAGGACCCCAGTTCAGGGGTGATCCCACCCACAGTGGCTGGGTCCTCCCCATGAATGTCTAATTAAGAACAAGCCTTACAGATAGGTCTTATGGAGACATTCATTCAACTGAGGGTTGCTGAATAGACTATTTCTTTAACTATGTAAAGATGAGTTATATTTGTTTATGTTGTAGAATATTTCTTTAGCTATGTGCACATGAGTTGCATTTATTTTCCCTTGCCTGCCTAAGGCACCTGATTGGCCTAATAAAAAGCTAATGGCCAATAGCTAGGAAGTAAAGGGATGGCAGATGGAGAGGATAAGTAATAAAAGGAATTTAGTTTGGGAGGAGAGAGAATGAGGGAGAAAGAGAGAAACCTGGGGCCGGCCAGTCAGGCAGGTGCTAGCTACAAAAAAAGCAGGACATACAGAATGAAAAAAAGGTAAAAAGCCCAAGACAAAACACAGATGAAGAGAAAGAGGTTAAATTAAGTTGTAAGAGCTAGTGGGACAAGCATAAGATAAGGCCGAGAATTCATAATTAATAATAAGTCTCCACATCATGATTTAGGAGCTGATTGGTGGCCAAAAGAAAGCCTACTTCAACTGAGGGTTTTTCTCTCTGATTACTCTAGCTTGTGGTACGATGATACAAAACCAGCTGGTACGGTGCGAGAGAGGCCCCTTGTCAATTCTACCGTGTGAGAACTGATGACAGGTGCCATTTATGATCCCCAAAGGGGGTTCTCGTCAGACACTGGGTCTCTCAGTACCTTAACCTTGGGCTCTCCACCCTGCAGAAAGATAACAAGCCATCTTGGTGATGATACTTTGTTATTGCCGCACATGGGAATTCAGGCATTTGTTCCTTCCTGGGGGCCTGGGTGTGGCAATGTCTTTCCCCGTGTTTGAGCTCAGAGGACTCAAGCTTAGGTTACAGACAGAGAAGAAGTTGGTAATGAGACATTAGGGGAAAAAAAGAAAAGAAAAATTTTTCAGGAAACAAAATTTTTAATTGGATCAAAACCTTAATTTTGTGAGTTAGATGATTCAGATGATAAAATAATTTTATTCCTGGCCATAAAGCTATTCCTGCTTCTGTGGAAATTTCAGGAAGGGGACAGTCCAGGGAGACAGGCCTGTGAATTGTACAGAAATGATAGCTATATTCTTTTAGATATATATTCTTCTTAAATATTTATTTGTATGTATGTATGCCTGTGTGAGTTATGTCAGCAGGTACCTGTGGGTGCCCACAGACACCAGAGGCCATTGAGTCCCCCAGAACTGGACCTAAAAGAAATTGTGAGCTACCTGATCTGGGCGCTGGGAACCAAGCCCTGGTCCTCTGCTGGAGCGTAAGTGAGTGCCCCTAACCACTGAGCCATCCCTCCACCCCTGCTACTTACATTCCTAAGGTAAGCTGTGGGCTGTGTGCTAAATGTTACTTCCACCTATGGGAAAACCCAGCTGGAGATGGACCACTAGGTGGTCTGGCCTGAATCAAAGTGAGAGCCTGTGCAGATGCCATTAGAACCGTGATAGACAGGGGACGCATGCGGTAATTTTGTGAGTTCAGCAGTGACCTTATAGGGAGCGCTAACAGGAAGTGACTATTTCATGTGGACGCAACAATCTTAAAATAAATAAATAAATGGTACAGAACGGGTATGAGAGGCGTGCGGACTTATTTCTTGTCTCCGTTCCTTTCTAGTTCTGTAGTCTTGGATGCATCCCTACGTTTATGCTTTCCTGTTCCTAATCTGTGAGACATCTCTGACACAGGGCCAGTCTGAGAATCGAGGCAATATACAAGATGAAGATACTCGGTAATCATACTTGACACAGCATTTCCTGTGTGCCCGAAGCTTTAGAATTAACACACATTGGCTGATTTAATCCTCAAAAATACATACATACATACCGGTAATCATTATACTTGACACAGCATTTCCTGTGTGCCCGAAGCTTTAGAATTAACACACATTGGCTGATTTAATCCTCAAAAATACATACATACATACATACATACATACATACATACATAAATAAATGGGTAAACGCTATCATTATGCCCCCTTAGAGTAGAAATGGAGGCACAGGAAGTTGAAAGAACTCCCAGAAGCCTAAGATGTAGAAGGAGCAGGGAACCCAGTGGAAGAGGGGGTGGAAGGATCATAGGAAACAGAAGAGTTGAAGATACCGGGAGAACATAACCCACAGAATCAACCAAGCAGGGCTCATAGGGGCCCACAGAGACTAAAGTGGCAATCACAGGGCCTGCATGAGGCTGTGCTAGGTCCTCTGCATATGTGTTATGTTGTGCAGCTTGGTGTTTTCGCAGGACTCCTAACAGTGGGACTGGGAACATCTCTGAGTTTTTCAGCTGCATTTGGATCCTTTTCCTCGCCTCATCCAACCCTGATATAAGGGTTTGCACCTAGTCCTACTGTAACTTGTTATGTCTTGTTCAGTTGATATCCCTGAGAGGCCCACTCTTTTCTGAATTAAAAATGCAATTAAAAATAATTAAAAATGAATCTTTTTAAAAAAGAGGAAAGAATGGCTAAATGGGGGCAAGTGAGATGGCTCACAAGAGCTTGTCATGGAAGCCTGGAAGCCCGAGTTCATTCTCGGAACCCACATAAAGGTGGAAGAGACAGAACCTATTAAAGTTGTCTTCTGACCTCTACACATGCGCCATGGCATGCATGCTCACACGTACACATATTGTGCACACATGCTAATAATATTAGTAGTAATTATTATTACTTTATTAGAAGAATGATTAAAGGAAACTCGTTGCTTTGTTTACTAGCTTATGAAAAACAGAAATGATAAAAAAAAAAAAAGATGCCAGTGATAGCTCAACAGGTAAAGGCACATGCTGCCAAACCTAACAGCCTGAGTTCGGTCCCAAGAACCCATGTGATGGAACAGAAAAACAGACTATCCCAAGTTGTCTCCTAAGCACCACATGTACGTTGTGTGGCATGGCTCTCCACTCCATGTACGCCAGAAAATAAAATAAAATAAAAAGATACTTAAACAGTACAAAACGATCATCCCAATGAAATACATCAGGAGTTACACAAAGAGAGAGAAAGAGAAAGAAAGGCATTTGCGAAAGATAGAGAGTATAGAAAAAAAAAACCCTATTATCTCAACACTTTGGAGGCCGAGGCAGCAGAATTGTGAGGCTACAGCCAGCTTGGGCTGCAGGGTAAGGCTGACACTCTCTGTCTCTCTCTCTGTCTCTCTCTCTGTCCCTCTCTCTGTCCCTCTCTCTGTCCCTCTCTCTGTCTTTCTCTCTGTCTCTCTCTCCGTCCCTCTCTCTGTCTTTCTCTCTGTCTCTCTCTCTCTCTCTCTCTCTGTCCCTCTCTCTGTCCCTCTCTCTGTCTCTCTCTCTGTCCCTCTCTCTGTCCCTCTCTCTGTCTTTCTCTCTGTCTCTCTCTCTGTCCCTCTCTCTGTCCCTCTCTCTGTCTTTCTCTCTGTCTCTCTCTCTGTCTCTCTCTCTGTCCCTCTCTCTGTCCCTCTCTATGTCTTTCTCTCTGTCTCTCTCTCTGTCTCTCTCTCTGTCTCTCTGTCTTTCTCTCTGTCTCTCTCTGTCTCTCTCTCTCTGTCTCTGTCTCTCTCTCTCTCTCTCTCTCTCTCTCACACACACACACACACACACACACACACACACACACACAATAAAGTACCTGCTTGTCAGTTCTGAATCTGGATCTCAGGAAAGAACTAGAGCAGTGTTGTCTCGGCTCCTTTGAAAAGGAGAAATTCTGATAGTTTGTGTATTTAAAGCAAGATCAAGAACTAGGAAGCGAAAGTCCCTTTTCTTCCGTAGGCAAAATTGTCTTCTCCCACAGACTTCATTCTCTTGACAGTGTGTACACGTTTTTGGATTAGATGAGGCCTTTGAGCTTCACTCTCTCTCTTGCCGTTCCTATCTGTCCTAGCAATGCATTCTTCTTACAGACCCATATTTCAAGTTCCTATTAGTTTTAGTTTTTAATTATCTGACCACAGCAGGTCAGGCAAGACCTATTCACCCTAATGGGTGTATTTTCCTCTCTGGTCCTTTTTGTTCAGTCTGTGTGCCAGCAAAGTTGTGCTATTCCATGTGATCTACGGATGGCGAGGCTTCTGGGCCAGCCTTAACCTCCCAGGACGTTTCAGTTTTGTTTCCTATCTGGACTCTCCACATGTGATGCTCTTAACTATAAATCCGATTAAGTGCACAATGCTTCTATGAATGCTTTCTGTTGACGAGGCCAGGGGGAATGCAGGAAAATCATATCCAGGGTCTCTCAAGAGGTTTTTCCCCACTGACATTCAGGAAGCTGAGACAGGTCAAGGACAGCCTACACTATGCAATGAGACCCTCGCTCTAACAACAGAGGGTACAGAATTTAGTGATTTATTTTAAGTCTGCCCAATTCGACAACGTCCCCTCTCGATACATTGTCCACGGCTGCTGTCTTGTCCCCACCCAGGAATGCTGTCTCCAGTCCCAGATCTAGATGTGCAGTCCAGACATCCTAGGGCCTTCCTATCCACCAGGAC